GTGTGTGTGTGTGTTTGTGTACACCTCTAAAAAAATTAGCACTGTCTCTCAAAAGGAGTATGGAATAATCAGAGGCAATTCCCCAATAACAACAAAACCAAACAAAAAATAATAATAATTTCATAATAAACAAAACTGTTTTACATACTATTTACATACATTATAAATTACATTAATAGGTTACTAATAATGTATAAAGATAAAACATGAGCTATTAAGACTAATAACAAAATGAATAAATATTGACAGTCTTGCTTTAACAGCAAAACCGGATTCATGCCACACTTACCACAGATCAACAGTAAGAGAAGCGCGCGCATGGCTTTATGATGAGCTGCCTTCAACTGCCGCGCGACTTCTAAAATATGAAAATCACTAATCAGCTGTCACACAATTTCAGCTTATTATATTTATAACTACTTTCACATGAAACCTTCAGTAACATCGGTAATAAAACACAAGCATGCGTATGCATTTACTAATGCTGGAAGCGAGTACTCACATGTTTACTGTGATGTTGTCGATGGTCAAGCTGTTCTTCAAGCCTTTGAGACTTTGAGCGCTATCAGAGCCAGACGGACTTTCTGAAGTCCCGGTACAACCGCGGAAATGACCGATGGAAATCACGCACTGGATTACAGAGATGCCCGCTAAAGGTAAAGCGACACAGTCCTCAGGCAATGCCACCGACTCATTTAGGAAAAAAACTCCACTTCTTATTTTCCGGAGCGCCCACATGAACGAGTGTAGTCCAACAGGAATGCGCACGCTTCTGAAAGCTGATTTAAAAGAACTCTCCCAGTAAGAAGTATACCAATATCCGATTACATTTGACTCAATACTGTATTCCTTTTTTAATAGATTTAGGTTTAGGAAAGCTGCATGATCGATTAAGCAACCATTTAAATATTTATGCAAATAACTAATGAAAGACCTTCATGTTAAACATTGTCTGGTTATGTGAATAACGCTCACAAAATGAATTTATTGGTAACTTATTTCAACCAGGGTTTTTCAAGCCAGACTTGGAGAGCCCCAGAATAATAATAAAAGCTAGATTTTGTCAGCAACACTTTAGAATCACTTTATTTAAACTTAAAAATGCTTTTAAGATCATTAGTTAATGTTCCTTCAAATTTACACAAACCCTTGGTTTAAAACCCCGTCTCTAAACTAAACACCAGAGAGCATGCTGACAAGACACATATCCTCCACTAAATATGTATTTACTGTATGTGTCTATACTCATAACAGGACATTGCCTAATTTTACTCAGGTGATCTATCAAACATAATTTTTCTTATGAAATGAACAGGACTATTGGGAGAAGACAGTCAAACATATGACGTGAAACAAATATGTGATTCAGTGGTATGATATGAATCAAAGCTCAGGGTCAGCTAAAGCCACTGATCCAAACAGAGACAGGATTACTCCACAGAAATGAACATGTCCTGCCTAACACTAACAGACACAGGAAGGACAATGCAGAGACAGAAAAGCCAATGGGCTCAACTTTAAAGGTGCACTATATAATGCTGAAACAAACCTGAAATTCTGAAATATGCATAGTACCATAAAAATGAGGACTGATATATGTTTCATTGTAATATGTCCCACTGTTGAACTTTTTTCTACATTCTCTATCGCCCCCTCTTGTACTACAGATGTAATACACAAAAAACTGAGGCTGTTTCTGCATATAAAAAAAACAAAACAAAACAGTAACGTTTGCATTCCATATCAAAGGTTTAATGTGTTCATATATGTTTTTTACATAATATAAAAAATATGATGTTAGGCACTTCAGAGTTTAAATGTAACTACAGTTGAAAAGTTTGGGGTCGATAAGATTTTTCTTTGATAGAAGCCTCATGCTTCTTAAGTCTGCAAAGATCTATAAATTAGTAATATTGTGAAATAGCATTACAATTTAAAACAACTATTTTCTATTTTAATATTAAATGAACATTAAGTGTGAAGTAAGTGAATTTTCAGCAGCCTTTCAGGATTCTTTGATGAATAACTCTTATAAATCTTTTGTGACATTTTAAATGTCTTTACTGTCACTTTCGTCAATTTAAGCATCCTTGCTGAATAAAAGTGTTCATTTCTTTATTTTTTTTTTAATCTTACTGACCCCAAACCTTTGAACAGTAGTGCATGTCTTTGGCCACTAGGCTACACAACAGTTGGTCTGCAGTTCATTTAGTACAGTGGTTCTCAAATTGTGGTCTGTTTTGTTGATTGGCTTATTTAATTAAAAATAAAAAATAAAAAGCATTAAAAATATATAACATAAAACACCAATATTGAGTTAATCAAAATTAATCAAATTAATAAACTGACTGTTAACATTAAATTAATAACATAACTGACGGTTCTGTCAAGTGGATGTAAGCATTTGTTTCAATATCTAAGCTAGCAAACAGTCAGCTAGTTGCTAGTTTCAATAAAATATGAACAAAACAGCAGTTTAGAAAAAAAAATGGGTGAAAAAATGTAGGGAAAAAATGGTGACTCAAGTCAGCAACAGTGAAAAGGACATCAAATTAAACTTCTGGTATTAGATAGTCCATTTTTCAGCCCTCCGACACCTGAAAAATGTTGAGAACCACTGATTTAGCAGGACGACAATAAGACCTAGTACTTTACTCTGAAGTTTGTCATCAACTTCATAACAATTAAGTAGTGAAGCTGCTGATTTGTAATGAAATAGCAATTTGGGTTGTAATGGATCAATATATGAATCACACAGAGGGTGATTGAGATGTCTGATTTCCGGCTTTTGTCTGTTATTTACAGTTCCTACTGACAGTTGTTGTAGCCCATGACTTTTAATCGGATATATTCTCTGACTTCTGTAACGTTTTTCTCCAGATCCGCCAATTCATCCCGCTGCTGCTGCATTTTCTGCTCGTTCTTGTTGAATTTTCTCTCTAATTCTTCAAAGGAGGGACACAGAAAAACAAGAAGATGAGAAAAGAGCCAAACAAAGTCAGATATCTCAAAATATTCACATTTGTTACTGTGTTTAATAACAAAAATGACAGCATAAATAACACTTGGCTCATAGGTTCATTTGAGCATAACATTTCAGTGCTTTGCTTTAGTAAATGTTTAATTGGGCATTTGGACATACTTCTGAGGGTTTCCATGCCTGTGGTGGCTTTCTTCAGCAGTTCCTCTGCTTCTTTCTTCATCTCTATAGCTTTCTGGCTAATGTTACCTTCTCCTGTCCCGCCCACAGAGTCCACCTTCTCTTTCAGCTCATTATACAGATTCTCGGCATTTACCAGTTCCTTTTAAACACAAACATGCACACAAAAAAAAAAGTTAATGGAAGAAGCTCTAAAATATAGCTAGACGTGCACACACACACACACACACACCTCTTGAAGTCCAGCAGCCTCTTGAGTTGCATTGTCGGACTGAGCTTTGGCATCTTTTGCCATCTCCCTGTTCTGCTCCGTTTTATTCTTCAATAAAACCACTCCATGAGACAAATTGGCCAGTCGCATCATCACACCCATGAGGTTGCTGTCTAAATTGAAGAGTTTGTTGTCAAGCTGTTCGGGAAAGAGACAGAAGCAGATTAATTCAGATCTTAAGACTATGACTCGATATCAATTCAATAATGCTACAAAGAATCATGAGAAAAGTATGATGGTTTCCACAAAAAAATTGAAGCAGCGCAACTGTTTTCAACACTGATAATAATAATAATAATAATAATAAAGGCTTACCATAGTAGTGATGTTCTGGGCATTCTTGAGATTTTCTAGGGCTGTGGTCATTTCCTTCTCAGCTTTTTTTATGGCACTCTGAGAGGTTTCAAGTGCTTCTTTAGTTTTATTGATATTATCGCTCACCCCTTCAGCTTGAGCCCTGTGCAAACACAAAACCACACACACATACAATGTAATTTACTATAATGTGGATTTCTGTGTAAAATAGTGAGCAATGTTCTCTCTCGCTTACTTTGCATCTTGAGCTCTCTTAAGCAGATCCTTGACTTTGGCCAGTTGCTCTGAGGTGTGATTGAACACTCCCTCCACATTGGTGAGGTTGGCGATGTTAGCTTTGATCTGCTCGACGATGTTGAGTATTACGGTCCTGTTGACTGGCAAGGAGATTGCCAAAACCTGCTGGGCCACTTTTTCAATGCTTTCTGGATCTGCTCCCTCCTCTGAATATAGCAGTTTTAGTATTAAGAAAAAGGCTTTTTATTGTTTTCAAAAATGACAATTAGGCATTTATGATAATTAAACATGTTAAAATGACAGTTCGTGCAGAAATGTAAATTTATCATTTATTCACCCTTATGTTAATATAAAAATTTTTCTTTTTTTCTTTTTTTCTTTTTTGTTCCTCAGACAAAGTAAAGTATTGGATACATACTACTGTTGCCATACGGTTTTAACTACTGTCGTACTGTCGGTAAGAGTTTTTAAAGAAATTAATTATTTTATTAAGTAAGGATACATTAAAGGCACAGTATGTAAGATTATATTTTGCTGACTTGTGTACTTACATTATCCCAAATGTTTCGAAGAATGTTTAAATCCAGAGAAATAAGCAATTTTAACTAGTGACACGGTCACATTGTGTCGCCTGCTAATGACGTCATAAGCCCTCGATTTCCAAAGACGCTTTACACACGTTGTGTGTTTTAATAGACCGGTGACGACCGCACAGAGTAGCATTATAACAGAACTTTCAAACGTATCTAGTATGATAAAACAGCGCTGCTTTCGCGCCCACCCCCCCCCCCCGCCTCATCCCGAGCGGGG